ACTGACAATTTGATGTGTCTATTTCGCCAATATGGTGGCCATGAGATGATCTGAAACGAAAAGTTATGAACAGATTTTGCCAAGAAGGTTAGTAAACGTTAGTTTTCTCTTTATAATGCCGCAATAAGGTTCGACGTTTGACCCAACTGAGTTTGTCCAACTGAATTTAGATCTAAATTCGAATTAAGTTCGACGTTTGATCCAACGGTCAAGCGTTACCCGTTTGGTTCGACTCAAATTGCAATTTAACGCGTTCATTTTAAGTTCAACATTTGACCAGGGCCTTAAGTGATACTTAAAGACAGTTATATTGTTCGAAAATTTCTCAGGCACTATGTATGTACTAACCTTACTTGTACGTACGAAAGTTGTGTAATTATTTTTTAAAAAACTACATTTTAATTTGAAAACCATTATAACTGTGTGGGCTGGAAAACATGCTATAAATTTATATATTTTGTTGGTTTACTCGATCGGTTTTGGGTGATAAATCGTTAGAATTTCAACGATGAAAACCAAGTAACGTTAGATCTCTACAAGTTGGCGAGGAAGCCTTGAGCAGAAAGAACCTTGCTCAGGTAAAGAGACGAAATGGATTTAGCACTTTCGAAGGTTTACTCAAGGTTTTCATGTTAGCTTGCTACTTACGTAATCCTTCTCGTTCTTTCCATGCAACATTAATCATTCTTGGTTCTTTTTGGTTTATCATTGTCTTTCGATATTTTCAGTGGCAACTTAGGCACAATTAATAAATAAAGAATTAGTTGCATTTGGCTGATGGAAATTACAATAACAGAGAAAATACAAATTGCAAAGAGAGAAAATAAACTAAAAATCCGGAACGACTTCAGCTAAACATCAAGAGGATCAAAGCCCAGTTTCCCTCTTTGGGTTCCCGAACAGGAATGATGAGAGCCAGTTGATTTTTGTAGTTTATATTATAATATTTGTATAATAGTGTTTTTTTTAGCATTTGTAACTAACGATTTTCCGTGCATAAATAAAGATAAATAAATGTTAAGTTTGGGCCAAAAATCAGTTATAAACGCACTTAACTGTCCAATGACAAAACTACCAAAAATTATCCCTTCCTCATTAAACAATAAGTCACAAACCAAACTGCTTGGTTTTCCTGTAAGGGGCACGTAACCAAACCTAACAAGAAACTTTAAATTTTGAATTCCCTATGAGATTTTCCATATTTCCATGATAAAGTATTATTTTAAGTTTCGTTCTCGATTTGAAAGTAATTTTGATACAGTTCTTCATTTAATAGCAGAGTTAAGTAATGGTATGAAGCAAGGGCCGTGTACATCTAAAAACAGAGTAGGATTAATTTCAAATATTTTCTTTCATACGGCCATGAGGCTAAATCGCGGGGAAAACACGCTGGTATTAATCAGTAATTGAAAGCAATGTGGACACTGTGCCATGTTGGAGTTTAAAAGCTATTTTGCAATTAATTATTTATCAAGAAGTTACATGTTCAGCATAGGCGTTCGTTTAATGAAGAAAACAGATGCTCCTAGTATCAAAAATGAAAAATTATAGTTGTTCATCAGCCAGGTAATAAAAGCTTGTTCATCAAAATTATTTACGTGAAGTTCAAATCAAGGTTTTATTAATTTTTTTGTAAAGGATTAGAAGCAAAATCAAGTACGAACCAGACTCCTGAAGTTGAAAATTGGAGAGAAAAATAAATAGGGTAAATGTGTTTCTATCTGATGAATTGAATTGAAAACCTTTTCGCTTAAGGCACGAAACTCACTGTGAAATGACTTCTTTTGTACAAACCAATATTAGCCATAACATCTCATTGAATGTAATAGAAAAGTGTAATATATTAATATTTATGTATATATATATATTTTTTTAAGGGAACGAAAATTGTTACTGTTACTGGATTGAAGAAGATTGACGTAGCGATGAAAATTTGACGACTTTTTAGACAAGGAAAGTGTAGAACGATAATTAATCCATTTTAAATGCCCGACTATGGCAGTAATTTGTTTATTAGAAGGCGTGCATGATTCAAATGTCCTGGTTCACCTAGAGACTAAATTGTAATTTACATCTGTGTGAAATTCTAAACCCAGCACCGGTAGTTGTAATTCTAACGTTTTATTTTCCGTGTATATGTTAACAGTGTTGATAGAGAATTAAAAACAACATTAATAACCTTTTCAGAATTAAAAGCCCGGAAAGTACGTCTGAGAAAAATAATGTCACACGAGACTTTCTCAGTTAGGCCCTCGGGATGTTTATGTGACAGGCATTCGTATGAATATACCGTCCTTTTGTAACTGTTTATCTTAGAATGATGAAAGATTAATCGTTCTAAATGTTGTTTTTACTTCAGGTTAATAAAACTATGAAATGCCTCTGCTAAATTGTTGATAAACGAAACTGACTTATGAAAAGAGAACATCAAAAAAACATACATTCATCAAAGCGGAATTATAAATATAGTGCTGACTCTTTTGAGTTGAATTTTTATCCGGTGATGCTTCTTTCACAGCAAAGCTGTTTATATCGAGGTATATAAACAACATTTACATTTGGATATTTTAAATTCAGCTTTACTACATTTATATGGGGTAATATTATGTCACAACGCGTTTATTTTTTTGCCGGGAAAGTCGTGTATAATATCGATTACTAAATACTCTCTCAAAACTAAGAGCGAATAAATGCGACACACACTTTTGTTTGAATTTATTCAAGGGATAACTTAATGTACGATTGCTACACAGTTGTATAAATATATATGAATGTTTAAACGAAGGTTCTCAGTATTCATGACAAGTCAAGAAAAGAGTGAAACAAAAAACTAGAACGCGCGCATGCATTTCTCGAAAGGAGATTTGCCACAACAGATGTTTGGAAAATTCCGGGTTTAAACAAAAACTTTAACTGCCCGAAAGGAAAATATCACGATTATTGCACGATAGCAAGTTACCGCTTCATGAGAATTCACGTATTTTAGGGATATATACAATAATACAAAAGTAGATAATTCTGATATCAGCTTTTCATAAAAAGGACTAGATTGATGAAATTATTTTTTTCCCAACAATGTCTCATTTGCCTGCGTGCTAAATTCAAAACGGCTGACCCTTTTTTTTCTTTATGATAATTATAATATTATTTCTTGGGTTTGAACGGTTCGCAGATAGCATCATTTTAAGTAAAAACGAGTATATTATTTCGAAAAAAAAAATTAAAACCAGAGATCGAATTTCACCGAGAACGGGTGGTGTTTTCTTTGCTCATTTCACAGACATTTCTAGCCTGTCAGCACGATACTTTCGAATTAATTCATGAAACGCCGCCATAACTCCCAGTGTAGAAAGGAGAAACCGCGCGGCACGTTAAACACTCATTAATAACGGTATATATGATCACCATCCTTCCGAACGTTTTTTCAAACAGATCTTCAGTGTTAAAACAAGGGTCTGAATCGACTTACCCTAGCTAGCTTTGAAGATCGCTGGTGTTCCAAGACGTTCCATATCCTCGGTTTGTATTTTTGCCAGCATGATTGTTCCCCTCCAAAATTCTCAGATACAATCTCGCCAAGTTCAGAATTGCAATCGTCATCATCGTCCGACATCTCCGCCGCTTCGAAAAACTTCAAGTTTTCTTGCGCTTCGCGATGCTGTGTGTAATACGTCCAGCAACATGGTTCCATCTGCTTCTCGTCGATCGCCCAAAACAAAAGCTCATCTTCGAAGAGCGGTCCGCACACGTCGTGTGGACTATGTAGTTTGCCTGTGCGATAGTAATTTATAATGGCTGCGAAAACGCCTGGATGTCGATCGAAGAAAAATTCATTCCTTTCTGCATCGTAGAACTCCGCACTGTTATTTTCGTTTTCTATGCACCAGGCAAGCCTTGTTCCGGGGAAATTTCGAAGAGTGTTCCTGAAGGTTTCGTGTCGAACGCCGCCGCAGTTAATCACAATGCGGTCCCGTCTTGTAGGACTTGGAAGATTTTCTTCTGTTTCTTCGGACATCTTTCACTCAGGTTTCCACCGCATTAACATGATTTTTCTCGTTCGCCGTCTCCCCTGATAAAAATATAGACAAGGAGAGTTTTATTTGGTAGGTTTCCACCAAGTGTTAAGTCATCTTTACCAGGAAAAGCCTCAGCGTGAACCCAAACTCGGCCAAAACTAAACTTGAAGTAACCCCGTATGGTAATTTTTTGTATAAACACAGAGCGGCTTCTATGCTGTAAATTAAAATTTCTTGTGTTTTCCTTCGCGTTATCTATACCTGCTGTTGAAACTTTCTCTTTATTCGCATCTCGACGTTGATCAGCCTTTTTTTCGCTGGTAAAGAAACTTCCCTTGTACGCTTCACTGTGTTGCAGTGTTTTGCTAATCGTTGCTGTGCGCAGATCGGTTCCCTCACAGGATAGGTTAGTACAAGTAATTTGTGGGGCGATATTACAAAGCTCTCACATCCTGCTTTCCACCTGCACAGACATAAATATTCATGATTCCATTGGGTGATTGCCAATTAGAAACTTTAATAAAAGCGCGCGTTGAACAATATCCATTGAGTCATTTTATTAATACAAGACTGCCTTGTCACACTTTGGTGTCAGTTATGTACCAATCACCGTCCAGGACTCTGCGAATTTCGCATCAGTTTCAAAAAGCCCTCACCTCTGAATGGTTAAAATTTAAATTAATGTTCGAAAAAGCGAAATGGTGTTATGTAAATTTGCTCATAGAAACGGTCGCAATGGAAAATAAACAGTGGAAGGAGTAACAACAGAATAAGACGCGCGCTTCTCCTTGGCTTAAATATAATTTATAATTCTGAAAGTTTTCAACCAAAAGAATAATCCATAAAGTGATCGCTTTAGCCTACTAGCCATATTAATATTTTTGTTTTTAATGATTGAGGCAATATAGCCACTTCGTTTTATCGCTTTAAATTTTGAGGTCAAGTTGGTAAACGGTTTATTCCGCTTATTTAACCGAAAACGACATGCGTAGAAAACAACAAGGGTAGATATGGCTTGTAAGCCGGACTTGCAGGGATACATTTTCTTGTGAAATCGGTTATCCCCTAGCTGTTTTGACGTCATCACTGTCAATAACTTATCTTGATGACAAAATTAACGCGCGTGAGCCTACATAAATTTATGTCTTTTTGTGTATTTTTTCTCAATTTCTTCTCAGCCGTGACCGTGACTTACGTTTGCTGCTTCAAGTTCAAAATATTGACCACTGTTCCGCTAAAGCTTGTAAAACGTTTAAAAATTAAACACGACTGAGAAAAGACCAGCGAAAATGGTAAAATAACATCCTTTCTCGTCACGGAAGGCGAAGACGAGTCTGAAATCGATATTTCAGACCTTGGCAGAAATCCGTTTCCTTGGCGACATGAGTTCTATTTATTATTATTTTTTTCAGTTAATGTCTGAGGCACTATTTGTAGATAGTCAGATTCTTGTTTCAAGTACGCCAGTTCATGACTTAAAATTCCACTTTCAAACACAGCATTTACTGAATTCTTGCCTCGAGCGATGAAAGATATGGTAATTGATCCCACGGAGAATCCATTTCATCTCTCAGGTTTCACTCTTGACGAAACTTATGTTGTTATCACATTTTCGTAGCTTTAAATTTTACTGCTTTCATCAACAGCTGTAACAAGACGAGTCTTTCGTATCCCGAAGAAAAATTTACGCAAGCATTTACATTTTTAAGTGAAATTATATTTCTACGTCTCATTTCAGTTGAGTAGTTAAGTAACGGATGTTTTTTTTCTAGAATAAGGCTTCAATCAGCCTCGCAATTGTTTAAAAAAGAAACAAAGTTTTGTGTAAAAGCAGTGAGACTAGTTTTGGTTAAAGAAGCACATGTTACGTGGCATACCGGTAGCTTGGAACGGAAGCTATAAAGAAAATCTTTATTAAATTGAAATATTTTGGAATAGCTATATTTTTTTGCAACATTTCGATTTGTTTCGAATAAGTAAAGCCCAAGCTTTCTTTGGGTGATTATTTTCCCCTCCTGTTTGGCGCAACAGGTTTAAATAGCTTTTAAATAAGCAGCTAGGCTTTCAATAAATGTAACGATATACATACGAGAGGAAAAAAAAAAAAACGAGCGAGTTTGCCTCATGGTTTTTTGCCCAAGACCAGTTTCTCTGCTCGTTTTCAGTCGCTTCTCGCTCGGAACGTGACGAGCGTTCCTGCTCTGCTCAATAACCAATACATTCAAAGAGGGATGGCGGAGAGGTTTTTGAATTGGGGGGCGGGGTGTGGGGGGGGGGGG